CTGAACACCTCCAGGTACCCCCAAATACCTTCAGGCACCCCCAAGAAACCTTCTGAACACCTCTAGGTACACCCCAAACTCCTCCAGGTACCCCCAAACACCTTCTGAACACCTCTAGGTCCCCCCCAAACTCCTCCATGTACAACCCAAACACCTCCAGATACCCCCAAACACCATCTAAACACCTCCAGGTACCCCCAAATACCTTCAGGCACCCCCAAACACCTTCTGAACACCTCCAGGTACATCTCAAATTCCACCAGGTACACCCCAGACTCCTTGTGAACACCTGCAGGTACCCCCAAACACCTCCTGAACACCTCCAGGTACCCCCAAATACCTTCAGGCACCCTCTAAACACCTTCTGAACACCTCTAGGTACACCCCAAACTCCTCCAGGTACCCCCAAACACCTTCTGAACACCTCTAGGTCCCCCCCAAACTCCTCCATGTACAACCCAAACACCTCCAGATACCCCCAAACACCTGCAGGTACCCCCAAATACCTTCAGGCACCCCCAAACACCTTCTGAACACCTCCAGGCACATCCCAAACTCCTCCAGGTATACCCCAGACTCCTTGTGAACACCTCCAGATACCCCCCAAACTCCTCCAGGTACCCCCAAACATCTTCTGAACACCTCCAGGTACCCCCAAATACCTTCAGGCACCCCCAAGAAACCTTCTGAACACCTCTAGGTACACCCCAAACTCCTCCAGGTACCCCCAAACATCTTCTGAACACCTCCAGGTACCCCCAAATACCTTCAGGCACCCCCAAGAAACCTTCTGAACACCTCTAGGTACACCCCAAACTCCTCCAAGTACCCCCAAACACCTTCAGAGACTCCCCAAAAAACCTTCTGAACACCGCCAGGTACCCCTCAACACCTCCAGATACCCCCTAAACACGCGCTGTGCTGTACATCAGCTTTCAGGAGCGATGTTGGTGCGGCTCCCAGTATTTTTCCTTCCTTCTCCTCCCAACACAACCTCACTTTGCCCTCCGCAGTAGCCCAGTTGCTAAAGAAAACCCAATATTTTCCAGGAAAACCCTGAGCGCGTTGGCCTTCTCGCCCGATGGGAAGTTCATCGTCACCGGAGAGGTGGGCGCCACTCGTTTGTAGTCACCTACACCCCAATTTTCGCTTTCCCCGCGCCAGCAGGATGGAGTAGCCGGGATTATTCCTTCCCTCCTTTTCGGGGGGTTTTCCACCCAATTTGGGATGGCGCTGGGAGGGTGGGAACACCTTGTAGGATCGGAAAACACGTCGGCTGGCCGCGAAGGGCTGGCGAGAAGGGGAAAGCAACCTCCGCGTCGCCGTTTTCCCCGCGCAGAACGGGCACCGACCGGCAGTCCGCGTGTGGGACGTGGAAGGACGGGCGCAGGTCTCGGCGCTGCACGGTCACAAGCACGGCGTGGCTTGCGTCGCCTTCTCCCCCAGCGCCAAGTTCCTGGTGTCGGTGGGACACCCGCACGACATGGTGGTCAACGTTTGGGCCTGGAAGGTGAGCTCCGGCCACAACCGAGTTGGCTTAAAGCAGCTCGACGTTCCCCAAATCTCGGGGAGGGGGAAAACAACCCTTTTTCCATCTTTTCTCCCGGTCGCTCGTGGCTCCAGGTTTTTTGGGGGGGAATAAGGTTTGTTGGCCACGACCTCACCGCGTCTTTTTTTCTGAGCAGAAAGGTTCCCTGGTCACGTCGAACAAGGTGCCCTGCAAAGTGATGGCCGTGTCCTTCTCCGAAGACAGCTACTTCGTCACCGTGGGGCACCGCCACGTCAAGTTCTGGTTCCTGGATGCCTCCAGGGAGCTGAAGGTGAGGGGGTGTCCTTTGCCCACACCGTCCCACGGGGCGCGAACGGTCGGTGAAGCTCAACTGGGGGTGAACGCTGCTTAAAACCACGTCGCTGAAGCCGATGTGACGCGGGAGCGGACGGTTTCTGTAGAAAGAACCGAAGAAATGCGAGGTTTTCCCCCCCCCCGCCCCCAAAATTCACGCTGCCTCGTAGCTGAAGGTTGCTTTGCTCCGGCCGCTCGGTGCCGGATGTCACGGAACCTCACAAACCAAACCAGTCCAAGCAACAAACTGGAAAAGGGATTAGTTTTTACAAGTTGGTAACAAACTCAAACTAAGTTAAGATCTTATCTGCTCTTTGTCGCGGGGGGCTTCGGTGGGGTGGGTGCATCTGCCACGCCGGACCTCGAAGCCGCGAGTGCTTCGGCTCAGCTCCAGAGGGCCGAGAGCCCGTTTCCTTCGTTAACGCTCGTTAACGTCGAGGCGGCGGCTCTCCCTTGCTTTGCAGATCACCGAGACGGTGCCGCTGGTGGGACGCTCGGGGCTGTTGGGAAAGCTTCACGATAACGTCTTTTGCGGGGTGGCCTGCGGCCGAGGGCAGATGTCGGGCAGCATCTTCTGCGTCTCCTCCTCGGGGCTGCTCTGCCGGTTCAACGAGAAACGGGTGCTGGAGAAATGGATCGTTCTACAGGTGACGATGGGGACCTCCTCCCTGGGGTGAAACCCACCGACAGAGAACTGACCCGTTCCGGCCGCAGGTGCCGCTGCCAAACTGCCTTTGCCTCAGCGAGGAACTGATCTTTTGCGGCTGCGCCGACGGCACCGTGAGGATTTTCCGGGCTCGAGACATGCACTACCTGAGCGATCTCCCCAAACCTCACCCTCTGGGCGTGGATGTCACCCAGGATCCGCCACCGAGGTACCGCACGGCCGAGGGGACGGCACGTTCCCCACTACGTCCCCTCCTCTGAGCCCTCCGGCGCGGTTTCTGTCACCGAGCTGCGGGTTTGGGACCCCACGGCTCTCATTGCCCGACCTGCGAGCTCGTCTCGATGGTTTGAATCGGTGCCCGCGCTGACGGACGGCGAGGACGGGAGGAGGCGAGGGGGTTGGCAGGCTTATGGGGGACGCGGCTTTGTTTTCCCCTTCGTTTTGGGGCCGTGTGTCGGGATACGCAGACGCCGTTTCATTTGCAAATCAAATCTGCCTCCGGCAGAGCGCTCGGTGGGCTCTGGAGGGGTCGACCCTCCCAAAACGCGATGCCCTCGGGATGTGACCCGACTCTTGTGTCCCTCTCCCCGAAGGCGGACGGACCTGGTCTACCCCGACACCATCGCCGTGGCCTACGACGCCTGCAACCGTTGGCTGTCCTGCGTCTACAAGGACCACAGCGTCTACGTCTGGGACGTGGGGGACCTGCGGAACGTCGGGAAGGTTTGGTCGGACCTTTTCCACAGCTCCTTCGTCTGGAGCGTGGAGGTGAGGACGAACGGATCCCGCAGGGGCAATTTGGGGCACCCGCAGCTCCGCTTTCCTTCCCAGCTCCATCACGTGTAACCCTCCGGGCGCAGGTGTACCCCGAATTCGAGGAGCGGAGATCCTCTCTGCCCCCGGGCTCCTTCCTGACGTGTTCCTCGGACAACACCATCCGCGCCTGGACCCTGGGAAGCGGCTCCGCACGTCCCCAGCGAGGCAGCGCCTACAGCAGGGTACGGTGTCGGGTTGGGGAGGGCGGCTGCGTCCCACCTCCCTGCTCCAGGCAACTCCCCCCCCAAAAAACCGCGCCAGCAGCCGGGGGAGCTCAGCCGGCTCCCCGTTCTCTCCTCTTGTGGGATTTGCCTCGAGAAAATGAGGTCGTCGGAGGTTTCGGGGTGGTTCCCTTTGGCTTCTTGCCGCTCTGGGGACAAAAGTGCTGCCTGAGCAGAAGAGGAGTGGCGATTTTTATTGGGGTTTGGTGATTATGGCGAGCCTGAAAAACCGCTTTCTGTTCTCCTGCACCCGTTATTTCTCTCTGAACAACCAAAAGACACGGTTGTGCTGCTCAAATGCTGCTGTTTTTCCGAAGCGGGATGCGTGGAAAAACGAAGCGGGGATGTTGGAAGCGGTTGGGTGGCGCGGGTGGGCTCCTCTCCTCCCCAAAGAGCCACCTGCGCTCTGCCGGAGGGACCTGACCGTCCCCCCTCTCTCTCGCTCCCAAGAACCTGAGCAACATCATCTACGTGGACAACGACACGCAGCACCTCCAGGACTCCTCCGGCGCGCCCGAGCGAAGCGAGAACGTGGCTCACCTGGACGTCAAAGCCGGGGTGCGGGTGATGCAGGTCAGCCCCGAGGGCGAGTATTTGGCGTCGGGGGACAGAGGAGGAACCCTCAGGCAAGTGGCACCCACCTCGGCCCAAAGCCGAAGGAGGACGGTGGCGGTTGGGTGCCCCGGGTGGACTCCCCACCAGCTGGTTCAGCCCTTTAACCTTTTCCGTGGGGATCTCCCAACCTCCCGACAGCGTGTCGACGGCGTTCCTGCCCAGCTTCCCCCGATTATCGGGGGGCCGAGCCGACGGTGCGTTTCCCTCGCAGGATACACGAGCTGCGGTTCATGCAGGTGGTGGCTAAAGTGGAAGCTCACGATTCAGAAATTCTTTGCCTGGAGTATTCCAAGCCGGAGACCGGTAAGGTTTCATCCCGAACACCGATGTCCAAAAGCTGCCACCGCAAAGTCCTCGGGTATTACCAGTGAGCCCTGGGGCTTGGCTTCCCAGTGACCGGCTCTTACTGGTGGGTGGGAAAAGTCCAGAGATGCTGGGAGGGCTGGAGCCCCTCTGCTGGGAGGACAGGCTGGGAGAGTCGGGGGGGTTCAGCCTGGAGAAGAGAAGGCCAAAAAGGGGAGACCTCAGAGCCCCTTCCAGTGCCTAAAGGGGCTCCAGGAGAGGTGGGGAGGGACTCTGGGTCAGGGAGGGAACCCATGGTACGAGGTGGAACAGTTTGACACTGAAAGAGGAGAGATTTCGATTAGATATTAGGAAGAAATTTTTATCTCTGAGGGCGGTGAGCCCCTGGGGCAGGTTGCCCCGAGAAGCTGTGGCTGCCCCATCCCTGGAGGTGTTCAAGGTCAGGTTGGACGGGGCTCGGAGCAACCTGGGCTGGGGGGAGGTGGCCCTGCCCAGGGCAGGGGGTGGAATGAGATGATCTTCAAGATCCCTTCCAACCTAAACCGTTCTATGATTCTCCGACGGCTCCAGGAGCGGCGCTGCTGGCTTCGGCGAGCAGAGACAGGTTGATCCACGTCTTGAACGTAGACAAGAACTACAAGCTGGAGCAAACCCTGGATGATCACTCCTCCGCGATAACCTCGGTCAAATTTGCTGGTAGGTGTCTGAATATCATCCAAAACCCCCCGTCGGACTGCCCTCTGCCTTGAAGAGGAGGTTTTTCTCTCCGCATTGACCTACCTAACCTTCAACCTCTGCGGTAGAGGGGCTCCTCTAGAAAAGAGGCATCTGCAGATGAAAAGCACACAGCCACCCGGGGGGGGGGGCGGATCCCACCTTGGATTGCATCTGGTTCTTAAAAGAATCCTTTTTTGATGGGTTCATTGGCAAAGAAGCCTTTTTCGGCTTCACTTGGTGGTGAATTTGGAACGGACGCGATCTCTCATCGCCTTTCCCTGTGCTCTCTTCGCTCAGGCAACGGGGACGTTCAGCTGATAAGCTGCGGCGCCGATAAAAGCATTTATTTCCGCAATGCTCAAAAGGTGAGTGAAGCGGCGTCTCCGCGGGGATCCGCTATTTCTCCCCGAATTCGGAGGGGCGAGAAGGCAACGTGGCTCTCCCGTCTCCGTACAGCTCCCGGAGGGCTTCAATTTCGTCAGGACGCATCACGTCGCCGAAAAAACCACCTTGTACGATATGGACATAGACATCACGCAAAAATACGTCGCCGTCGCCTGCCAGGACAGAAACGTCAGGTGAAAGCGCTTCTCCGTGCCGGCTCGGGCTAAACCTTTCTCCTGCCGGTTCCGCTGTCCCCAGGGGGGGCTCGTCGCCACGTTGCCCACCTCCTGCTCCTCTCGCAGGGTGTACAGCGCGGCCAGCGGGAAGCTGAAGTGCTGCTACAAGGGCTCGCAAGGGGACGAGGGCTCCATCCTGAAGGTAAGAGGGCGATTTCCACCAAGCGGTGGCCCTCAGGGCGGCGGCAGCTCCCTCGGCGCAGGATGGGGGCTGCGGTGGGACAGGATGGTCGGCGGCGCTGAAGGGTTTGGGGCTGAGCCCTCGGTAGCCTCAAGGGAAGAGCTGTGGTCCAGAGGGATCTGGAGACATCGGCCAACGGGAACTTCATGAGGTTCAACAAGGCCGAGCGCAAGGTCCTGCAGCTCAGTGCGGGGCATCCCAGTCCTGACATGGGATGGAGGAGGGATGGAGGGAGAGATGGACAACAGAAGGAGAGATGGATGGAGAGAGGGATGGATGGAGGAGAGGTGGAGGGATGGATGGAGTGATGGATGGAGAGATAGATGGATGGGTGGAGAAACGGATGGATGGAGAGATAGAGGGATGGATGGAGAGAGATATGGAGGAGAGATGGAGGGATGGAGGGGGAAATAGAGAGGGACGGATGGATGGAAAGAGGGATGGATGGAGGAGAGGTGGAGGGATGGATGGAGAGAGGGATGGATGGAGAGACAGATGGATGTAGGAGAGATGGAGGGATGGATGGAGGAGGGATGGAGAGATGGATGGGAGAGGGATGGATGGAGAGATAGAGGGATGGATGGAGAGAGATATGGAGGAGAGATGGAGGGATGGAGGGGGAAATAGAGAGGGACGGATGGATGGAAAGAGGGATGGATGGAGGAGAGGTGGAGGGATGGATGGAGAGAGGGATGGATGGAGGAGAGATGGAGGGATGAATGGAGAGATAGAGAGGGACGGATGGATGGAGAAGGATGGATGGAGGAGAGGTAGAGGGATGGATCGAGTGATGGATGGAGAGATGGATGGAGGAGAGATGGAGGGACGGATGGAGAAATGGATGGATGGAGGAGAGATGAAGGGATGGATGGAGAGAGGGATGGATGGAGGAGAGATGGAGGGATGGATGGAGAAATGGATGGATGGAGAGAGGGGGGATGGATGGAGAGGTAGAGGGATGGATGGATGGATGGAGAGAAGGATGGATGGAGGAGAGATGGAGGGATGGATGGAGAGGTAGAGGGATGGATGGAGAGGTAGAGGGATGGATGGAGAGGTGGAGGGAGGGAGGGACGGATGGATGGAGAGATGGAGGGATGCAGAGCAGCCCTGCTGAGAAGGACTTAGGGACGCCGGTGGGTGGCAAATGGGACACGAGGTGGCAACGTGCGCTCGCAGCCCAAGTGTCTCCTGGGCTGCAGGTCGAGGGAGGGGATTCTCCCCCTCTGCTCCGCTCCGGTAACCCCCCCCCGCGTCCAGCTCTGGGGACCCCGGCACAAGACAGGCGCGGACCTGCTCGAGCGGGTGCGGAGGAGGCCACGGAGATGTTCCGAGGGCTGGAGCAGCTCTGCTCCCCCCGTCCCGGGAAGCGTTGGAGGGCAGGTTGGACGGGGCTTGGAGCAATTTGCCCTCGCGGGAGATGTCCCTGCCCGCAGCAGGGGGTGGGACTGGGTGGCCTTTGAAGGTCCCTTCAACTCAAACCCTTCCGTGGTTCTCTCTCTGTACGTCCACGCACACACGTGTGCACATACAGAGGTGTGTCCGTGTAACCCCGTGGGCTGAGCCCTCGTGAAGCTGTTGGTGGAGCCAACGACTCAACCCAACGCCACATTTCTAAAAAACCCATCTCAAAGCTGATTTCTTCCCTTCTCCTGCCCAGAACGCCGCTGGAGGAGCAGGAAAGGGGGTTATAGCCGCGTCGGGGAGTCTGCTCGTTTGTGGAACCCCCTTCGTTAGGGAAGAAAGTCGCTGTTTTGCCGACTCGGTGCTTCCGCTTGGGCGAGGGATGAGTCCTGGCGGGGAGCTTGTGCCTTGCCACCCATCGCTCCTCCCTACGTGTCCCGGGAGAGAACAGGTCCCAAAAATATCCCCGAACAAGGTTGCTTTTGCCCGGCGCTGAGAGCTGCGGGAGGGGAGCGCGCGCGCGCGACCCGCGACGATGAGGATCCACTCAGCGTTGCGTATCCCTTTCCCCATCCCAGTAAATCCCAGTAGCACTTGACTTGTGCCTTTTTTTGGGTTTTTTTTTTTATTTTATTTTTTCCTCTCGGGATTCCTGAATTGTTTTGAAAAATTTTTACCGTTTGACGAAAGCGGCGGCGGCGCCACGCGCCGAGGCTGTGTTGAAGGTAGCGTCAGGGCAACTTTTAAACACCTACATGAGAAGAAATGGCACTTAAATGAAGATTTTTCTTTTTTTTTCCCCCCCCTCCTCCGCTCTGTTGTGGAGAACTGTCCAGGATATTTATCTTACAAGGAATATTTGTGGTTTATTGGAAAGGCTTCGTAGCCTGAAGGCGTCTTTATTTTTTCCTTAACGTTATCCCGGACTCAGATGCGCTTTGCTGTGATGCGAGATGTTTCCGGATACCACCTCGTTGCCGAAAAACCTTTTCCCCTCCCGTTGCGGGATGCTGCCCGGCGGTGGCGGAGCTTCCGAAGAGGAGCCCGAGGAGGAAGGAGACGAGGCCTCGTCCCCGCAGACCCCCTCCAAGGAAGACTCGGAACCGCGTGCGTTGGGGACCGGGGTCCCTCTGTGGCTGCACCCCGGTTTCCTGCCCCCTCTTTCCCCTCTTCCCCTCCAGGGCTGCGGCACACGGCGCCGCTCCTAACCCCGTTCTCCCCCTCCAGCCCCGGCGTGCGTCCTAACCAACGGCAGGCTGCCCATGGGGGCAAAGAGGCTGGTAAGGCGCGTGGCCGCCCGTAGAAATGTAATTTAATTTAATTTAACGGAGCCGGACGAAGATCCCTTTGCTCCAGCTCCACCGGATCCCTTCTTTTCTCTCCCCTCTTTCCAGCTGGGAGAGGTGGAGGATGGGGACCGGGTTGCCGTTGTCCCTCGGGGGAGCTACCGGCCGCAGGGGCGATGGGCAGAGCGCGCCGAGAGGGGCCCCATCAAGATTTTGCCGGAGGGGGATCCCCCCTACTTCACTCCCCTCAAACCTCACCTCGAGGGCGACGCGGAGCTCGAGCCGGGCAGCCTGGAGCACCTCTTATCAGAGGTCAGTCGCGGGGCCGGACCCTACACCCTCCCTCAACCCTCGCCGCACTCCGGTTTAACCATCCGGGGAGACCCCCTGCCCGCCGGCGCCCGTCTTTCCGGGAAAAATCCGGCTACGGATATCAGTTCCCCGTCTCCGGCAGGCGGAGAGCTCTCCCAGCGACCTCGCCGAGGACTTCCAGCTCTTTGAGCTCCTCCAGGACGAGGAAACCAACGGGAGACTGGAATCGCCGGATACGAGCGGGACCAGCCCGGAGGAACTGTGCGTGCTGGAGGCGAAAAGGTTGGTGTCGGCGGAACGGGGAAACAAACGCCGCTTTTCCCTCTCGGCGTTTAGCCAACCTCTCCCTGCTAGTTCAGGCTTTGCTTAACGTCACCGCGCCGAGCCCCGGCTCTTACCGAGCTCCCGTCGCACCTGAATCCCCATCGCACCCTCGTCCCCGTGGCGCCTTTTCCCTTCCAGCCAGATTTCCGAGCGCTCTGGCGATGCCGGGAAGCACCAGCCCGGCGGCACGGGGCAGGACGGGGCTGCCCTGCTCACCCCCAACCTCCAGCGCAGCCCCTAAAGCCCCGACGGGGTCGGAGGAGGGAAACTTTTCGGGCACGACTTAACCTGGTCCCACCCGAGTCCCTGACGGCGCCTGTCCCGGCTCGGGACCGACCTGCTCGCCTTCCCCCAAGGCAACGCGTGACGGAGCCACCGCTGCGTCCCACATTCCTGGAAAAACTCGGAATCGGCCGGGACAACGCCTCATCCCGCGTTTCGCTCTGCCTGGGAACACCGTCACCTCGCTACCAGCCGGAAGGTAACGCCGGCAACGCCGCCGGGACTCCGGGAGAACCGGCTTTGCCAGCACCGAACCCTCGCAGAGAGTTTGGGGGCGGCTTTAGCTCTTGGTGGGGGCGCTCGGAATAAAAACCGCCCGGTGCTAACGTCCGTCCTGGGGTTGGGGGGCGCTTTGCTTTCCGGCTCTGTCCCGGCAGACGAGGATTCGGTAGGGTCTGCCGGGGCGGCGGCGGAGCGG